GTAGACATAATATTGATTTTTGTTTAAAGGTACTTATAATAAAAAAATTGTGGAGACATATATATTTTTAGTTATGTCACACTTTATTGTGTTGTACAAACCTGAAGTGCGGCATCCGACCAGGGGTAAAACCAATCAATAGTACAACAATTTACTAGTGCCGGGAATTGTCTGATGCGAGCGCGAAATGTATCTTCAATCGGGCTGGAATATTGAAAATGTATTAAGCTAATTAGAAATTTATGGTGAGGTATGTAGATTAAATTTCTTTTATTTTATGCAGATTAAATTATAGATGTTTTATAATTAAGTTTTAGAATCAAATAGCAACATGAAAAAGTAAATTATATTCTCTAAAAATTTATAAGTTTAATGTTTCACAAATATTCTACAAATGTTCTCACAATAAACAATTTAATTAATATGCTTTGAATTTAATTCAATTGATTTATTTTCGACGTATAGTTTATTATACATATTAGATAATGTTTCAGCAAATCTCCTTAAACAATTTGTTGCAGAAAATTCGTTAAATCCTTTCAGACTATATTCTATAGATGCTTATAGTTCAGAAAATCTTCTATACACATATACTGTTTAATTATTATAGTTTCATATATAAATATATAATAATAATACGTTTCATATAACATTTTATATATGATATTATTATATATAAACTTATTAAGTAAAATAAAACAAAAAAGTCAAAATTTTATTAAAAAATTAAAAGATTAACAAATAATATAATCATTTATAAAATTCCTTATGCTTTAAAATATAAATATTAACAAAAAAACATAAAAATATAGTTTAAGAAAAAAATAATCTTGATGAAATTATTAGAAAGATCATAGAAAAAAGAGACCCATTAAATATAATATATTATAGATTTGTGATAAAATTTTTACGAAATTGACAATTTCAATATTAATCAATCTCTCAATCGTGAACGACTTGCATATTCTATGAAAAATTGACTAATATCAAATGGAGTATTGTCTATGCAAAAAAATTAAATTTATCGATCAATAATTTATATTTTCTCATTGGCCTTTCTGTCATTTCCATATTTTATCTATCTACCAATATTGAACGATTTATAATTACTTTTCCATTGTTGTCAGAGTAATTCCCTTCGATAATCCTCGATATATTATATTCTCAAGAGATTACGTCTCTTTTGAATTAAACAATATAAACTTGTTGCATATAATCATATTAAGAATTATTATTTT